TTGGGGTGATATCAGTCGATGTCGATATTTTTTTCGTTATTAAATTATTGTTCACTATATTTGGAGGGTTAATGTACTTATATATTAAATCGTAAATCTTGTAGCTTAGACGTCATCACATGGTATGTCTCAAACAATCGCCTTCCATATTGCAATCTGTGTGCGATAGATCTATCATCGAAGTTATCCTGATATAAGCTTAGCCTCTTAGCACACCACGTTACAAGTTTATGTACCTTGTTACGAGCCTCAGCTAGCTGTTGCTTGTTCACGTTCTTACGAGCGGACTTCGTAGGATTACCTTGGTTATTTGAACTGCGAAGAAGTCGATCCGATATTGCGACTAAGATTGAAGAGAAAGAGTTGAGAGAAGAAGAGAGAGAAGTGGGTTCGAAGAGTTGTTTATATGTTTCGTTGGTTTTGTACAATCCACGCGTGACGACGCCTAAGAATGCGAGGCTCGACAGAACGTGTGCGTAGATATCACGTGCTACAGTCACGTGTGTATAGCTTATATAAAGAGCTCTTCAGGCTACGAACGTCTTCGCTCTGTGGTTACAGATTCTAAGTATACCTTGGAACTCTAATTTGTAGTTCTCACGGCCTACTTCGTAGTTCTCATGAGAAGAGCGCCACATATCCCTTTGCCCAGATTTATAGTCGTTTCCTCATTTGCTATGTAATCGGCTTCCTCATTACCTCTGGTGTCAGTATACTTTATGGCTCATTTGATCAAATATGAAGGACTGTCATAGAAGGATTCAATTCTAACCTAAAATCTAAAGCTAAGAAAGGAAGAAAGAATAGGAAGAGAAATGTAAGAGCTCTGAACTATATACACTAATAACGGTCACGTGGCACTCTGGTGACGAATCGTCACAATTATACGTCCTGGCAGCAGAACCTTTTTCTTCGGTATGCCCTGCACAATCTGACCTACTCAGTCGATTTTGGCCAATTGTGCTTTCAATTCACGAAGTAAGTCTACTTCATGCCATCTTCACCCTCAGCCCTTCGTTTTCTGATTTCATTAGAAGATGGTCTATTGTACATTCTTCTTGTAGATGCTAAATCTGCTTCTTCCCCACTCTGACCAGTTTGCATGATAGATGAGTTTGTTTTTGAGGTTGCAAGAGATTGCGCAATTGCAAGCTTCCCATCAAGAGCACCAAAGCGGCTGCTATAACGATCTTTAGACATCTCTCGGAGCGTGTCAGCCGGCATTGAGCCAACCATTTGCATAGACCTGCCCTGTGCTTTCACCGCTCCGACATGAAAAAGATCTGCAATAGCCGTCACAACCACTTGATCACAATCACCATCTGCAACAACCTCCCCAATGACGTGTATTTTTTGGGCTGATACTTGATTGGTAGCCTCTTTGCATACCTCTAAACATTGCTTTGAAAATTCGATTTCTTCCTTTAACTGTAAAGTGTCGTTTTTACGGTCATCGTCACGATTGAATGCCACAGAGTTAAGATGTTCTTGTAAACGACAGATTGTCTCAGCCAGCTTATCGCGATTTTCGGTGAGTGTTTTTTGTGTTAAAAGCTGTGCTTCGAACTGACGTAAGATATCTCCGGCGTTCTTTCCTAAGGATTCCCTCTGCAGTGTAGGCTGCTCATCCTGTAGGGACTGGATGTAAGATGTTGCGCGTTCACAAATCCGAAGACACTGTACTGTTACAGCTTTCTCGTCTTGAAGATCGATGCTTGGATCTTCTAGTAGAGTTGGATGGCAAGAACTCAGAACCGCCATTTTCTCATCAATTCGCTGAAGACGTATCTCAAGATTGTAGGCTGTATCCTTGACCATTTCACCATACTCCTCAAATACCTGCTGAGTAAGTCTAGAAGTATGCCTTAAAGATTAGTTAGTAAGATACCAACAACAAGGGCAATTATATAGCAAAGCTTACATATTGACCGTCCCTAAGCCGATCGTAATTGTTGATTTGTAGTCTGCGAGAGTATCAATAAACTCATTGATATCCCCTCTCATAAACTCCATCTTTGCCCAATCTTTTAACCCTAATTTTGACTTGGTATCGAATGTTTTCATAGCGGCTTCGAATTCACGGGATACCTGGGCGCACCGACTTACAGGGCCTTTCAAAAGTGCCAAGATTGGAGAATCATCGGTAGCCGCCTTTTTCAGCGATTCTAGAATGCTGATAAGGTCATTCAGGCCCCCTTGAAGTCTAGCTAACGTTTTGTCACGACCCTTGTATCGTCCCACAGTTTCATTGAGCGTCTTTATTGTTGCAATCGTCGCTGCGATCACAGTCAACACTGAGGTGCTAATACTCAAAGGGTCCATATTCAAGAGGAACAGGTTGACATAGTTATATGAAATTACTTGGGGAAGTTCTTGATTTTAAATGCTCAAAGATGGGGAAACGCGCTGTGCTTACTGTAGACGTTCTGAGGGGTTGATCGTAGGCACCAATAGCACGAACTCCTTAAGCGCCATAATTCGATAATCACTAGGACCCTTGTTGAAACTACCCGAATCGCAAGGTTGAGTCTTCGAAAGATCTAAATGTAAGATGTTGACAGATGCTATGCGGGCTACAGCAAACGGAAATTTTCATTATTGGTCTTTGTTTTGATCTTTGTTATTTTCATTAGATTGGTTCGACATTGAAGTAGCGGAATAAAAAATTTCCGGTCTGGCTGTATGAAATACGGCAGTAAAAGCACACCAAAATTAAGGGGGTTTTTAAGGTATTCAGCTTTTAATAAATAACGATCATTTCAACTTCAGAATTTGGGTCGAATATATGTTTGTTTTGTTGGGCTCCAATTACAGCAGTCGAAGGTATTCTGAACCCAGAGCGATATATCGGAGACAGTCACCGTTTCCTAATCTTTAGAAACCGAGAAGATTTGATTTATCCCTCATTTATTTTAGTTTGAGACTGCTGTCTCTACAAACTATTTATTCTCCAAGTATGTATCATTATCATTGACATCATTAATATAAATGATGTTGTGAGCGGGGTAGCAATGATGACAACAGGGGCAGTGTTGGGGGCGGCAGCAACAGTAATAAGAACAATTTAATAACCCTTAGATGATTTAGTTGCCTAATGCCTATCTTTGAGGATATATAGTGTATATATAGTGATGGATCCGGGTATAGAATAGGTATGTGTAGGTGGAATTGCTACTCTTCTATTTTACTATTAAGGCTGAAATGAAAGTTATTAAGAAGAAATAGAAGGGTTAAAGTTTCCATTATTTATCAAATTATTGGGCTGGTTGAATTCTTTGATTTGTTAAATTATAAATCCAAGAGTTTGTTATAATGCTAATTCAAGGACTGTTGTAATGTTAATAAATGTGGAACGAGGTGGTTATGCTGTGGAAGGTATAATGATTGATTAAAATTTGGGGATGCTTTTGATTAAGGATTAGGTGGAACGAGGCAAAACCCAGAAAGATGGATCTCGTTGATGAACTTACAGTAGGATCTGGCCGAGCTCTTCTCGAAGCTCTGTATGTAACCTTATTTGTAGTAATTGTGGCTTTAATAACATTAGAGGAAGCCAGAAATAAGCAACGACAATCATACTCCACCTACAAGCTTGATCCCTTTAGAAAGTTGGTAAATGTGACGATTGAATCAATGGGGGCAGGGGTGGCTCTAAAACTAATGATCAATGAAGCAACATTTGGGAGAATAAAAGATGTATGTGATATAGAGTCGGGAAAATGGGGAATTATAGCCACGGTACAATCTTAGATAGAGATACGCTAGAGTAGAGCATTCTTGGTTTCATCTCTTTCGAATTGTATAAGCTTTCTACTCGTGAGTTCTAGCTGACAAATGTTCAAATGTGGTCACACAATATGACTAGTACAGAATGCAATCCAAAGTTCAATTTTTTGTTTTCTCATTCCAGAAATGGAATCTTTTGCAAGGCGACAAACGAGATAGCAAAAAATGATTGGATATCAACTAGTCCCTTTTTGGCTTAGTATTAATCTGCAAAAATCTGAGCAGCATGATTCAAGACAGCAGTCCTCCCCTCATAAGAGCATACATCTAGAAAAAATGAAATTTATCTAAGAACAACCTATATTCAAAGACGGGAATATCAAATTGAAATAGTTATTTTCTTTTTTAATCAGTAATATTCCTGGTATTGAAGTATATTATTCTTATTTTGATATATTATAAAGATAATTTATATCAAGTTTCTGTAGGCCGAGAATCGTTAATTAAAGCGAAAGCGATCATAAAACGAAGCTATAGCACTTCTATTATTCCCTTCGAAAAACGACTTCGGTTATTGACTTCACGACCTCACACGAAGCTCGACTCACTTGAATATTGAACGAAGGAACTTTGCTGGCCGAACGAATACTTTGAACCAGAGAGTGATATGAATCATCTGCTTGCGAAGAAGAAGTCTTCTTCAAATTTTCGTAGCAAACAGGCTCAATCCTACGTACTCTAGCTATATAGTTTCTATCCTACTGGGCAGGTATTGTCTCAGTGCTCAACCTATATAGCCAGTAGAATGTTAATTAATCATTCGATCACATTCAGATCAATTTTTTAGACCACAGGTATTGTACCTAGTCCCTATTTAAGGCCCCTGATAGACTTAAAAGTTTCTTTCGCAAATATTATCCGGATCGCGGACTTAAAATATAGCTTTAGATAAAATTGTTGAAGAAATTAAAGCGTGGGAGGGCGATGAACCTTCAAAGAACAAATTCTTAAAACAAGACAAATCACAAATAGGCAGAAAACGCGGAGAATAGAGATATGATAAATCACAAAATTCTTACAAAACCATAGAAGTTGGAAAGCAGGATCATCACTAGAATTGGTGGAATGGGCGAGGTATCAAGAGGTAAGCATGAATGAGGGGTAAAACTTTAACATGCTAAAGCGCGGCAACATGCGGGTTTGCGGCCGCAGATCCGCTAGGGCTGTCGAGCTATTATCCCAATCGTTCATCATCTATCAGCCTCATATACGAAATGGAGGTCGATAAAGAATTTATGAAGTGGACTGTCGCTCAGGGAATCGAGTTCAATGGCATCACCACGCATAAACTTCCTGGTAAGGGTCTCGGTATTATAGCTGAGAAGAACCTCGAGGTACGTAGGATAAATCTTTTCTGTGTCCTTATATATATCGTTTGTGTCATAGAATTCTTCTCGGTCATTCTGACAATTAAACAAGGCAGGAGACACAATATTAACCGCTCCAATCTCCGCCTTCCGAACAGCTCAAACAGTTCCCAGGAGCATCTCCAAATCCATCAGCTCCATCACTGTCAACGGTCTCCTAGCTGCTGAGCTCGCCATAGATACAACTGAAGTCTGCGCCCCATGGCGGGCAGTTCTACCCACCAAGGCTGACTTCGAAGAGTCAATGCCATTGATGTGGCACCCTTCGCTCCAAGCGCTGCCTCCATCAGCATCGTTATCCCTAACTATTATTCCGAGGATTTTTTTGGTGGTCAGTATTGGTGGTAACTATAACCCTAAGGGGGGTAGTAATCTAGGCAAAAAGTTACTATTTAATTATTATTTTTCTATATTTCAATTCTAGGCTTTTTAAAAATTTGAAAATAGAAATAAATAGAGATTTAATTAAATTTTTTATATATAAAATTAGATTTTTGATATTTTTAATATTAATAATATCACGGTCGTGAACTATAGAGTTTCGTTAGGCACATGACAGCAGGTCCTCGGGCCTACTATATACCAATAGAAGCTCGCATTCTATATATACATATAAATTGTATAGTTTCATAAGTTTAGGGGAATTAATAAAAAGTCTTTATGCTATATTATATCTAATTGATTTATTATTAATATTTATTTTAATAATTCTTTTTATTTGTTAATAAAATAGTCCGTTAATTAATATTTATTGAAAAACTATTGATGTTAGTATAATCTTTATAAGAAGAATATTTAGAGATTATAAATCATATAATATAATCCTGAATTAATTAGGTAGAGATATTGATCAATTTCTATAAGAAATTGATATTGATATTCAAATAATCTAATTGTAATAATCTTCTAACAATAAGGATTTATTATTGATTTAATAAATCTAAGAAATAAAAAAAGAAATAGTTATTATAAAAAAAGCTTATAAAGTAGTAATAAATTGTATATTATATATAGTCATTCTGGTTAATCATAATAGCCTTATAATTATAATATATATAACTCCCAGGGTTCTTATATCAAATCAAGAAAAGCTCTCTAAACTATAGAGATTAAAGTAATATAAAGAAAAGAGTATTAATAAAGTTAAAGACTTCTTTTTTTAGATAAAGATTATATTTTAAAGTAATAATAGATATCATTTTCTAATTGATAAAATAAAAATAAATTATATTATTCAATACTTCAAAAAATAACTCCTAATAGTTTAACATTGATATAAAAATAAATTATTTAATAAAATAATGAAATAGGAAAACTTTAAAGAATATATATATAATATAATTATAAATAAGAGGAACTAATAATAATAGATAATCCAGAAAATTGTATATATAAGATAAAGGGAGAACAAAATTATAAATATCTTTATAATATATTTAAAGGGTTTTAAAAAGAATATTAAATAGAAAGCGGATAGTATTCAAAGAGAAAAGCTTTTAGCAAATCTTCTGTCTAATTTGGCTTGAAGAATATTTAAATCCCTATAACAATCCGAATTCTATATTAAGCTTATAAAGTATATCTATAGATTAGAAAGTGTAAATAAACTTTATTGGGGAAAAGATATAGAAGAATTGTAATATTCCTATAAATACCCTCAATTACTATCTAAATCTCAAAACTAATCCAAA